AGTGAAAAAATTTCGCCATAAATGTCGAACAAGGACAGGTGCATCTAAAATGTATTCCAATATCTAAAAATAAATTTAATTCATATTAAAGTTTTTTTTTTTTTTTTTTGATGTTCAACCCCCACAGTTCCACACTTGTGTGGTTTGGATGGGTTTCCATATTTGCATTATTTAAACATGATATTATGAGAAAGGTATTAATATTCAGTATTAATACATACTGAATGTTTTTTTGATTTTTTTTTTTAAATAAAAACATTTTGAATCTTTTTATTTATATTTGTTTTACTGTAAAACATGCACAGAGTGTTGCTACATTGACTATCTTATAGCTGTACAAGGAAGTTCTGTTATATTGACTGAGGGTTTGATTTGAATAATAATGGATAATAAAAAAACTTTTAACTTTTTCCAGTCTTTAAAATAATTTAAAAAAAAAAAAACCACATACAAGAGAGTGTAAATGTATATGTATATAATTGTCTTTGATTTTCCTCATAATATGTATATGCTATATATGTATAATCATATGCTGTTTTGGCATATGCTAAAAACCTAATTTTGTGTAGAAGTTAAATAAATATAAAGATATTAACCATTATTTATAAAGATATCCCTTATAAAAATTTCTGGTATATTTGGTCATAATAGACCTAATTACCAAGTTCTAGATAGTGTACATTTCTTTTTTTATAAAAAAATATGTACACTTTCTTTTTTTGTTGCTCTAATGGCTAAATCTGTTAATGTACATTCTGCTGCACTGATGGTTGAATCAGTAGATGTTTCATTCTGCTGCATTGATGGTTGAATCAGTAGATGTTTCATGTACATTCTGCTGCACTGATGGTTGAATCAGTAGATGTTTCATGTACATTCTGCTGCACTGATGGTTGAATCAGTAGATGTTTCAGTGATTAATTGATAAAATCAAAAATATCAAGAATAAAAATAAACAGTCTTAAAATAAAATAAAACATTCTTAAAACAAAAAAAAAATGTTTCTAATCAATAAAATTTTTGCAGTTTTTTAAAAAACTAAGTTTTCTCTATTTAATTATTTAATTAAATAAGATTAAAGAACTTATTTTACTGAAGTGATCTTTTTTTTTTTTATTTGCATTCACTCCTAACAAGGCTGCAAGCAAGCACTATTAAGTTAGGAGTTACTAGGAAAAAAAAGAATAGAGTTATAGAGCAAGGAAACGGTTGACAGAAGACTTGAAAAGTTGAAGGTTGTATGAGTCAGGAAAACATGAAGATGGGAGAGAGTTCCAAAGGATTGAAGTGCGGGGAAAAAAACTAGACAAATAAAAGTTTTTAGATCATGCAGGGACAGATACACTAAATGAATGAGACATAGCTGAATGACGATTTTAAATTGTCAACTTAAATCATAGAGACTAGATAACAGCCACTTAGTACACTTTGATTCAAGGTTCTCAGCATTATTATAGAGCTGAATTTCATGCAAAATTTTATGTTTGTGATTTTTAGTGTAATTTTAGACAAATTTGCCTTGTTAAACAAGCAATGTCCATGTTAATTTAATTTACTATTATGCATCATTGTGAGTCAGGGTTCTCAGCATTAGTATCAATAAAAACTAAAAATCATAACCGACTAAAGACCCTGCTTACATTGAAGTCAATTCCTCAATTTAGTATTATTGAAAAAAAAACAGTAGCAACCATTAAACAACTATTAATTTTAATTAAAACTAATAAATAAAATTGTTTTTTTTAATGCCTTTTTTTACTTTTTCTATACATTTGCAATTGCAAATTGTCAGGAAGGTGTCTGCCAGATTGCTAAATTTTTGAAAGTGGTCCGTGACTAAAGAAAGTTTCAGAATTACTATTCTTAACAATAAAAAAAGCATATTAAAATCTGGTTAAGTAAGTTCAAAGAGTCAAATTTATTTTCTGTTTGTTTTTTATACCAATCAGTTGCTTCTCCTAGTCAACCAGATAGAACAGCAAATTTTTTAATACTAATCAGTTGCTTCTCCTAGTCAATCAGATAGAATAGTAAATAGAATTAAAAATAAAAAAACAAAATATAAAATGTTAAAAATCTTCAAAAGAAGATCTCAGTTGATTTGTCACAAAAAGCATATTAAAAAATAAAATTAGAATAAGTAAGAAATGTAAATATCCTTTACATAGTAATATTTTATTTGCAAGAAAATAATCTTGAATAAAATTTACTTAACAAAAAGTTGAAATAAAACTTTAAAGTCTTCAAGATAAATCTTTTTAAAATTTACTTATAACTCAAACTATGGAACACATGAAAATAAAACAGAAAATTGTGTTGCAAGAAATATTGTGTTGCAAATGGGGTTCCATGGTGCACTTGGTCAAAGTAAATGCAAGCAAAAAATTGATAAATAATGGAGATTTTTAAAACAAAAGTTAACTTCATTTAACATAATGATTTATTTTAAAACTGTACAATTCACAAAAAGTTAACTAAGCATATATTGGTTTTTCAGTAAATAAGCATATATTGATTTTATATATATGTAACTGCATAAGTTGATTTTATGTATCAGTAACTATGCATGAATTATTGCATCATAATTCTGAATATGCAACAACTAATTTCAAAACAAAACAAGTTTTTAAAAAAAAAATTTAAAAATTATCATGACAATTTAAAAACAAGATGCAATATTTAATCTAAAAACCCAAAACTTTTTTAATTTTGGATATTTTTTTATTAAAAATAAATTAAAAAAAATAATAGAACAAATTTGTTTTGCTGATTGTAGGTGAACAAAATACTTTGATCTATGAAAAATAAAAAAAAGGAAAAAGATCATAAAAAAATTCTTTAGACCATAGGTAATTAAAAAACACATCAAAAGTCAATGTTTTATATATCAAAATTCTTAAAAATTAAACACTTGAAAGGAATTATTAAACCTGTAGATTGTATCTGTAAAAAAGTGTACATTAAAATACATGAGATTAAAATGGCACCCCTGAATTTAATAGTTATGATAATAGAAAAAGATGCAACTTGATTTGAGAGAGGCTCAAGCTAAGCAGGTAGCTTATCTTAATTATATTTACAATTTTATGACAGGAATTTTGTCTGGAACACAAGCTATAGAAGAATTTAATTGAGATATGTGACCTTAGCAATGGAAGCTATAGTGTTTTGAATGTCTAACAATAGGTTAACTTTCTTAATTGGAATGGAAGAAAAAGAAATGGCAATGAGATTCAAAAGCCAAATTAAAAGAGAAGTTCTTTGCAAACAGTTCTGCCTTATTCTTGGGATAGGTAATTAGTCACACAAATGAGAGATAAAATGTTACACCTCTGGAAAACGTGTCACAAAGTTTAATATCTGAGTAAGAGATTGAGAAATGCATAAGTTATAGACTTTAGTGCCAGCACACTCACAGTGGTGTTATTAGGTGAGAAACATAAATATTGTTTATTTTCAAAATTTATTTCTATTCTTTATAATATTTGTATTTCTACTTGTTACACATTTGTGCAACAGCAATAACACCAACAAAATATATATATATATATATGATATAAATTATTTATAAAAACATTTGTGTGCATTTACACACACACACACATATATAAAAAGGCAACTTGCCTAGGAGAGGGAAAATTCTGCCCTAAATATAATATATAAGGAAAATTAAAACTATAAATAAGAAAATTGCAGAAAAAAATAGCAGAACAAAAATAACTTTTGACATTTTAAGTGTTTCAAAAAATAAACAAAGAAAAATACCGATCCGCCAACATTTGACAAGTTTCTATTAAATGTTTAAGAATCTTGATTTTGTGCTAAGTTTTGAAATCAAGTTTCACTTTATTATATGAAATACATTAAGGGTAGGGGAAGACATTTTAAAATGTTTAATCAAACAACTGCAGCAAGAGTACCAAAAATATAATATGGCAACACAAAACCAAACATCTATATAAAACAAAGATTAACTCACAGATCTTGGTTGTCCTGAGAAGCGACGATTATATATATGAATTTTATTATTATAAATTGTAAACTCATTAGAAACAGCTTCATCATTAGTAAACATAGGAAGAAGTACATTAATCTATAAAAAAAAAAATTTCCTTTTAAAAAACATTGAAACCACAACACTTAATATAAAAAAAACTTATTTCACTTGTTTTTGCAAGTAAAAAAAAAAACAAGTAAAAAATTTTTACTTGCAAAAGCAAGTAATAAAAAATATTAAAAGAAAATTTATTTCTATTTAAAAACTAAACCTGTTGCCTACAAATCGGACAGTTCATAGCACCAATCCATGCACCTTGTTCCCAATAGGCCATCATGCAAGCACCTAGCCATAACATTAGTTTTTATAATAAAATAATAAATACAACTTGACAAAACTTTAACATATAATATACTTTATTTCAAATATATTACATCAAAAAATGCAATGATTTTGATATTATATAAAAAAGCAATGATTTTGATATCATATAAGAAAATCATTAAAAAAGGATTAAGTGTTTTTGTAATCCATTAGCTTCACACCTTGAGTTTTTTTTTTTTTTTTCAAAAAATCTTTTTAGTAAATCAAACTAGCATAAATTAAAGTGGCTAAAAAAATGTATCATTCCCAACATCCACTGCACACCCAATGTCAAAAATATTCACAGATGTTGAAAGATTTTATTTAACTGTTAGGGATTTACTAATAAAAAAACAGACTACTTCCAAAAAATTTGAAAAATTTACTTTTTGTCAAAACTTTTTGCTGTTGAATTGAATTGCAGCCAACCTTCAACCTTTGTCACATCGTTGTAATGTTGCTTCTCTTTCTCTTTTCTACAAATACTATAATGGGCACTGCTATAAAAAGCTAGCGTCTCTTGTGCCATCTACTAAAATTCATTCTCGTGTTATTCGTCATTCAATTAAGTCTCATCCTTTTTCTGTTACTGTTCCTAAGTGCTCCAAAAACTCTTATTTGTCTAGTTTTTTTCCTCGAACATCAGTTCTTTGGAATTCGCTTCCTTCATCTTGCTTTCCTGATTCATATAATTTGCAATCTTTTAAGTCGTCTGTCAATCATTACCTTGCTTTACAATCTTCATCTTTTTTCTTCCAGTAACTTCCAACACTAATTAGTGGTTTCTTGCAGCCTTGTTGGAAGCGAAGATGTCTAAAAAAAAATTCAGACATTAAAAACATAAATATTTATTTAGTGTTTAATGAAAAAAATAACACTTTAAAAAAACCTCCTTTTTTAATTTTTGGTTAGTATATATAAGAAGGAAAAAAAGCTTTTACCACCACTCATCCACATTAAAGATCTCGATGCCTTAAAAAAGCTGATTTTTTTTCTGACTTTTTTTCAATTTGCCTTTAACTTTTGTAGCAATGATAATGTTATATTTAAACAGTATTTTCATAAAAACCAAATTCCATAAAGGTACATTAACACTGGTCTACAAATTTTCATTTTGTGAAAACTGCTGATAGGTGTTTCTTACACAACTTTTTATGCTGATTCCAAATATGTATTCTAATTCTTTGTATCACATGAGGATTTTTTGCAGTTAGGCATTTGTTAATGTTGAAAAAAGTCAATAAAACCAGCAACAAAATGTACTTTGGTTATGCAGAAAACTATTGGTATTTGCAAAATTAATAACAAAAGCATAATATAAAAGCAGATATACATTTATGTATTGTCTTCTACTGTGTGAATCGTCTTTTAAGTAATTTTTGCTTATGAGCAGCACCAAGATTATGGCATTTTAATGACCAGCAATAGTCGGCCATCATATTCACATTCCAACAACCTTGGTATCAACTCTCAATTGCACAAATGTCCTGATGGAACCTTTCACCCTGCTCTTCACAAGATCTTTGAAGACATTCTAGGCTTGCAGTTCAACTGTGGCCAATTTAGATAAACTCCTCATCAGGCCTTGCGATAAAGCATCGGGCAATGTGAATTTTACGTCGTCCAAGAGCGATTTTGCGTGTAGCTAGGGCTATTTGCGTCAAGCAAAAAAAATTTTGTTTGAGTATATTTAAAGATATTTTTGAGCAGAATTTTAATGACGTAATTTACGATTATTTTAACATTTAATAAAGTATTTTAAAAAACGCACACAGTTGATATAAAAGTTTGAATTACAAAAAAAATTAATATGCTCATTATTTACAAGTACAAAAAATTCAGATTAAAAAAAAAGGTTTAAATCTTTTTAAGCAAACATTTTAATAAAATTATTCAGCAATAGCAAAGTTGTCGATAAAATTGAACAAAAATACTTTCTTTTAGTTTTAGATTTTTAACTTAATTATTTTATGCGGGTTTGTTAGGTTTTAAAATAATTCTATAGATTTAAAAATATTTATTAACTGTTAGACGAATTTAAAGTATTTAAGAGTAATTTCGAGGAAACATTTTAAAAATTGGTAAGCGCAAATAAAAAAATAAATAAAAGGATTAATATTAAAACGTATTCTACTTGATTCAATAAAAAAATACAGTTATTAAAATTTTTGTAAAAAGTCAAAAAAAAATTCTTAAATAATAACAATAGCTTTTTTGTTAAAAGTTACCGAAACTCAATGAAGCGTGCTCAAGAACAGCTGCTGAAAAATAGAACGTCAATAGTTTTTTGAATAATTTTTAAGAATAATTTTTTCCCTGAAATATGTCGTTTATACCTATTAGATTTTTATTCTAACATTTTATTTTATTTTATTTTACCAAAAATAAAATTCCTTGTAAACATTAAAAATCTATTCAAAACGTTCGTTAAAATTTTTTAGTAATACCAGTGATTGTGCTTATCGACCGCTTTATGAAAATAAATTAAAAAAAATAAATATTATATAAAATCACTAGTAAAAATGTTAGCTATTGCACAGTTTTTAATCGTACAATATTAAAATTTCCAGTTTATTACTCACTGACTATTTAAAATGAAAAAATAATTATTCTAAAAACTTTAAATTACATATTTGAGAAAAAAAAAATCAAATATCAGCGTATTTTATAATCTTTTTTAAATGTTTAGTTATAATGCTTTTTACTCATTTAGTATAAACGTGTCAAACGTCGAGAAAATAAACAAATGTTTTTACATATTAAAAAACGAAACATTCCAAAACATTTTTAAATAATAACATTTTTACATTAATGATTTAAAGTAGTTTTGCGGTAATTAAGTAAATTGGTGCAGTTAATGTCAATAAATATGAAAAGCAAATAAAAAGAATTTAATGACGTCAAAAACCACGTTGTGCTTATGCGTCGCGCAGTTTTTATTCATCACAAGGCCTGCCTAATCATTCATTACTTCGCTGATCTGCAGTTCAACGAAGATACCTGCAGTCAATTTCACTTCACTTAAATCTGGAAACTTGTTTGACAAATATTGAAATTCAGAGCCAGTATGGTCCATATTCTTGACAAAAGCTTTCATTAACCCCAATTTTATATGGAGTGGTGGGAGGAGAACTCAATGTGCTTCATATCTCTCTTTTAGTTTTACCAAGTGTGCCACTGGATGTGATGATACTTTGTTTCCATTAAATAAAAGGACTGCCTTCATACTGCACTTTGATGAGTCAATTAACAATCTTTACTGATTAGCATCGTAAGCAATTCCCATAGATGTGACAAGACCTTCAATATTATTACAATATAACGATTCTTGCTTACTTGAAAAAACCTTCTGTCTTACGATATCTGTACACACTTACGCTAGTATCAGGGCTGAAAAGGTTTCATTCTTGCGGGATGTAAGCAGTTCAGCTGATGACTTTGGAAGGTTAAGATCTCGAATAGATTGTCAAGATCTTCCTGAGCAAAAAGTTTTGGTGTGACATCTGCATTAAAATCAGGATCAAGAACATCACTACTGTCTTCAGAACTTGAACTGTTATCACTTTCAATATCATCCAGTTGAGTAGAAGGAGCGAGTACAGAAATGTCTTCACAGTGTTCTACAGGCCTCAGGGCTGACCGTACATTGGGATATAGAATCTTGTGTGGAACAACATTTGTCATACAAAAATAGCAGTCCATCACATGATTCGAAGGCTCACACCAAATCATGAGCACGCCAAATGACATACTTTTCACTTTACTATTAAATCACTTGCCAAGAATTACTTTGCAAAGTTTACAAATAAAATTAGGCACCCATGCTTTGTCCTGGTCTCCCAGTTTTTATCCAAAGTATGCATGATAATATTTCTTTGTTAAATGTGATATTTTCTTGTTCTCAGCCACTGTGCAAAATCGTCCACAAACATGACAAAAACTGTCTGCTGAATTCATTAAATGTCTCGGCATGTGAAACTTTTTTTTAAATTAAAATCTGAAACACGCAAACAACAGCAATAAAACATTTAATTAAAATTGTATTCAAGCATAAACTGATTATATAAGCTGTTTATGATAAGCATAAAATTTGTAAACACAAATTTGTGGTTTTCTCAAAAACCTAACATGACACAAAAAAAAAGAAGTACATCAAAATTAATCATTTTTAATAAGCTTTCAGAAATTTATAATGTTGCTTGCAGTTTTTTTCATGTAAACTAGTGTAATTTAAATTTGTGTTCATTTAAATTAGAAATTATGAATTTAAAACTTGTCTTAGTGTTCGTGTAAACTAGAAAAATATGTAATTAAAAAAAAAATGTATAATCAAAAATTTCTTAAGTTGTAAAAATAAACAAAACTGTAAATGTAAAAATCTGAGCGTAAAAACGTGTTTGTAGAAAGGTGTTTGTAGAAACATGTTTGTAAAAATGTGTTTGTAGAAACGTGTTTATAGAAACATTTTTGTAGAACGTGTTTGATTGCGTAAAAACGTGTTTGTAGAGTTTGCAAAAAAAACTTTACAAAAAACACAAGAAAATGTTTTACGTGTTTCAAAAACAACTGAAAACTTTTAAATTAAAAGATAAGAAAGTGAATTAAGTGCAGAAAACAAAATATCTACCACACTCATATATAATAACACTATAATAAATGTCTATAATAAATATCTACCACAATCATATAATGTTAATAACAACGACAAATATTAAATACCACTCAAGTGTCAAAAAATTATAACAACCTAAATGCATATGCTTGTATAAAAAGTCTTTAACAATTCTTATTTAGCTACACAATCTAATGATGGGTATTACTCCAGTGACCACAAAAATGCTTTTCTAGACCTCAAATAAAATAGAATTTTTATTCCTCTATATTAATTATAAAACACTCACAACAAACTTATTATGGCTAATAATACGTGTTTATAAGCAAGTAAGCTATTAGTTAAAATGTTTACTAATATTAGCAAGTAAGTTAATGGTTAAGATTTTTCAAATTTAAATACTTTTTGCAGTTCAAAGTTAACAAGAAAAGAAATAACAGTGCAACAAAAGAAACTGTAATATACACCCTTACACCCACAATTTAAAACATTAACTTTATAAGCACACCAACATATTATAAAACATTTTTACTTTATTATAATAGAAAGGAAAAAAAACATACAACAGAAAACATGTCCACAATTTGTTTCAACTGCAAAATGCAGGCGGTCAATACAAACAGGACATTGATCATCACCATTTCTGGATTGTCTATTTGATTCACCATGAATCACATGTTCTCTTACAGCTTGAACAGCGTCTTGGTGAACAGGATGAATAATTTGATTTCTAACATGAAACTTTGACCATAATAGAAAAGCTAAAACTATGACAGAAGAAAGTAACCAACTAAACAACACACTGTCACTAATCCCTTCAATAAGAGAATCATTCATTATTTTTGTTTGTTTATGCTTTTCAAATAATTAAAAAAACAAAAGCACAATAAAATTAACATTAAAATAATATAATATTAATACTATAATAAACAACTTAAAATAAACATTTTCTTAAATTTGTTTAAAAACAAATGTTTTTAAACTAAGTAACTTGACATACAGAGAACAACTCTAAACAATTATTTTTGTAAGGGTGTACTACTGATAGTTGGTTATAGTTGCTAAAGATTGGTAATAGCTAATAATAATAGCTAGTAATAATAATAGATAATAGCTAGAAGTTGGCTATAATAACTAAACACTAGTTATGGTTATTAATGGTTGGTTATAATAAATGATTACAATAACTAATAATTCAGAGAATGAAAGAACATTAAACAAAGTATCTTTTATTATGAAATCAATGATTGCTAGCATTCATCGATTATTTGTTGCTTTTTTTTACAATAAAAAAATTAAATCTTTTATTAAAATTGTTTTTAAAATCTTTTAATTTGATAATCTAAAACAGTAATTCATTTTACAATGTCATCAAGGTTAAAACCACTTTAACCAAGATTAAAAATCCTTAACTAAAAGGTTTGCAATCACTGAGATAATAAAAAACAATTTTAAAAATTTTTTCAAATAATCTATTTCAAAAATGTAAAATATACAAAACATCATACATGTAAAATGTGCTTAAATTTTATAAATCAATGGAAATATTTACTTGCAAAAACCATTTAAATATTTTCAAAATAATTTATACCATTATATAATATTACATAAAATATTGATAATATTATATAAAACACTAAAAGTTAAAAAAATTACTTTAAATAAGGCAAATAAATACAAGACAAAAAACTGAAACATTTTCTATGATAGCTGGAAACAAAATAATTTTAAATCCATCAAAACAAAATTATAACTAATAATTAAAATAATAAAAAAACTATTTTCAAAATATCAATATGAAAATGATAATTAGAAAATATGTCACAACTATATTAATTTTAAACAAAAACTCTTTTTTTTTAATTTTATATTGCAATTTTAACACATTGTCAAAATTAAGTAAGATTTAAAAAAAACCTGTTAACAATATGTGGTCAATTTCATAAATTAAAAAAAATTTCTTATTATAGTAATAAAACATAAACAAATAAAAGAAAAAAATTGGATTTCTTATTAAAAGGTATTTAAACCTTTCTGGTCTATTTGCAATTTCTTTGTCATTTTCATACTATCTTGATAAAACTCTTGGTAAACAAACTTTCTACTAAAATTTACAAACAACACAACTAAATATTTATCAATAACATTTTTATTTACATATTGAACAAATATAAAATTTATTTTTTCTAATATTATTTGAATCAATGAAAAATGTTCATGATTTATATAGCATAAATAGATCTTCATTCACTGTTCAAATACATTCATCTGGATCCAGAGATTGAAAACTATGTTCCTTTAGTTACCAGATATCAGTTGTGAAGAATGTTACCAGATATCAGTTGTGTAGAATGTTGCCAGATATCTATTATGTAGGTAAATAGAAAATAGAAGATAATTAGATTCCAGATTACTTATGTGACTTTAATACTATATTTGTTGTTTCCAAAAAAATGTAACTTATTGCTTTTTCCAAGAATCGAAAAAAAACTACTTCAATAAACCTACATTGTTATAGATCAGGAAAATGGAAAGGGTCTTCCTAAATTTAAAAAAGAAACATTAAAAGAAAAAAATCTATACCATATAAATATAAAATAAAATTTTTATTTTTATCAAATTTTAAAGGAATGACAGAAATGACATTTTTTTATTTATGGTTGTGAATTAGGTGCAAAGATTTATTATGGTTGTGAATTGGGTGGAAAGATTTATTATGGTTGTGAATTGGGTAGGTGGAGAGATTTATTATGGTTGTGAATTGGGTAGGTGAAGGAATTTATTATGGTTGTGAATTGGGTATGTCGAGAGATTATTATGGTTGATAATTGGGTGGAGAGAGCACCTAAAATATTTTCCATTAGAAGTTAAAACATGTTGTAAAAACTATTGCAATCTGTAAAATTAAATAAAAAAAGCACTTTACTACCACATTAATGATAAAAAGACTTTGCTTTCTATTTTTACTATTTTAAACTAAATTTTTTTACAATGTCTAGGTCTATTTAACAATCAATCTAACAACTGCATCTACATCTATTTAACAATCTATTTAATAACTAGGTCTTCCACTATTTTTAAGTTAAGCACAGTACTACCAGGAATGTGGCAGAGATTGAACTCAGAAAATGCAGTAGTGATGAAGTGGTAGAGCGCTAGCTTCATAAGCAAGAGGTTTGATTGCCATCACGTCCCTGGTAGTACAGTGCTTAACTTGTTTTCCTTGCAGCAGCCTTGTTTGTCAAGGTCTGTGTTTCGGAGATGAGTTGAAAGAGGGTTATAACCATAATTAAAAAACCTCTTTGTCTGTAGTGGCCTTCGCAGACTTGGGGAGGTAAATTTACATTAAAAAACAACCTCCCGCTTATGATGAGAGTGCTCTACCACTACACCACAACAGCATAATCTAAAATTCAGTGCCAAAAAAAAAGTTTTGGTTTAATGTTAAAATTTTTTCTTTGTTGCCAAACACTACTCAGTAAAAACCTGGTTAAAAGATAATCACTGTAGAAGTAATAATTACCCCCACAGTGAGAGTGGAAACATAATTGTTAGATATATATACATAGTAGCACACAGGGTGGTTAAAAATTAAAAAAAACATTAGCTTAAATTTGCATGAAACAAGGTTAAAAGCTTACATTATAGATAAGAAAATCTAAAAACATTGTATGATTTGTAGTCCCAAAGATATGGGTATTCAAAGTTACATATTTAGATAAAAATTCCCTTTTGCCTCATTGAAGTTGTTTTTTTGATACAATTTAATACTGTTAAGGTGATATATTCAAATGAAGAGTGGTTTATTATATGACATATAATATACATATAATACATATAAGATAATATAATACATATAAGAGATATTTTGAAAAGTTTTTTTTTTGGCTCCATCAAAGTTGACTTGTGTTGTTTTTGTAACAATATTTTTTATTAAATGGATGATTTTTAAAATCTTATGAGATTTAAAATTATTTTTAATTTTCATTGAAAAGTAGATTTGATTAGCTTTCAAACAACATATTAATAATATGTTGTTAGAAAGCTATTTTTTATTAAATCATCCATTTAATAAAAAATATTGTTACAAAAACAACACAAGTCAACTTTGATGGAGCCAAAAAAAAAACTTTTCAAAATATCTCTTAAAATTAAAGTTCAAATATGACTACCCTAGAATAAATACGACTAAAAAATGGCTACCCTGAAAAAAAATATGTAGATTTAAAAATATCTTTAGTCTATTAATTTGAAAATGCAACTTTAAATGCAATAAAATAATATTCATTAACTAGGAAATTAAAATAATGATACTTAAATCTGCCACAAAAAAGATTTTTTGTGTACCAAATTTCAGGTTGATACCTTATTTAGTTCATTAATATTGCTATTTAAATGGCAAAAAAGCATGACACAAAAAAAAATTTTTTTTGCAACATGCTTTATATTCATTTTACAGTGCGATACTTTTGGTTTTTCTGTTGATTTGATATAGAATGACCCATATTCAAAATTCCTGCAACAGAACATTAAAAATTAGCACACGGAAGAGAAACTGCTTTGAAGTCTCCTGTTCCTATAACAGCTATGTGCAAAGAAGCACAATATTTTTGCAACAAAATCACTAAAATTTTGTCTTCTTTGTTTGGGATGCATATTTATAACCAAGCCATTTGAGCTTGTCCGCATACATGCAATTGCTTTGGTGAGCACTTAAAAAAACGCTTGCCATTGTTTTAGTGAGCACCTAACACTTTGATAAAAAAAAATCATGATAACACTTTTGTGTACAAATTATTTTATTTAGAATTTAAATAAAAGATTCATTTTGTCATTTTTATTTTAATTACTCTATTTAGAATTTAAGTTTTAAATTTAAGAATTTAAATTTTTTTTTTTATTACAATTTTTATTTTAATTATATTATTTAGAACTTAAATAAAACCCTTCTTTTTTTGTCATTTTTATTTCATTATTTTAATTAGAATTTATGTAAAGCATTTTTTTTCTATTTTCGTATGCTAGCATTAAATTTCAAATGGAGAAGACTGTTAAAAAATATTGGTTCCATCATGCTTGCAAGGAAGATAATGTGTTTAATGCATTTGCATGTTCAATGAACTCATCAGACTCAATTATAATTTCAACTTAAGTATAAGATATAAAAAATACGTACTTACATATGAGATGAAGGTAAGGATATTTATCAATTTAATGTAAACTTTAATATAGATGTTGCATGTCGGTGATGATTTTAATATAATTTAGATGTAAACTTTAAATTTAGATGTAGATGTCGCATTTAATGTAAACTTTAATGTCGCATTTAATAACGATTAAAATATAAATATAAACTTTATATTCAAAAAACTCGAAAACTGTAAGAAAAAAAAACATTTTCTTAAGAATTTTTTCTTAAAAATTATTTACTTGACCTTTTAAATAAACTTTTAGGAAGGGAAGGGGGATAGGCAAATATCTTCCCCACTAATTTTTTGAAGACCTGTTTTTGTTGTGTTTTTTTAATTTATAGTTATGGATATTGATTTTTAATTCTATATTTAATTTTGATAAATTTAATTTAAAATTAAAAGAAAAAGATTTTTAATTTTTAGCTTTTAAAATTAATGAATTTAATTTAAAATTAAAAGAAATCCAAAATGTTATTTAAACTTATCAACCTTGTTTATAGAAATTACATACAATTATATATAATTATAGGTAAAAATTGTTAAGCAACATGTAATGAAACTATATTTAATAAAATATTGCCCTATAGAAATGTATTTCCATGTTCTTAGTGTCAATATATATTTAAGGTGACAAGATATTCAGTAAAATTTCCTTAGACTGTAATTGATTTTACGTTTTTCAGCTTTAAATTTATTTTGCAGAAAATTTGCATCATATATCTCATTAGAAAATTTAAGGAATTGTTGAAAGTTAAGTTATTGTCAGATAAAGTGGGTATATCTTTCCAATGAAGCAATGGCAGTTGCTCCTAAAACAATCATAAATTGTTTGTGATTTACTATTTCTTTTGGTTTTCTATTTATAGAGAAAAAATAGGAAAATGATCGGAGATGTCACTTTTAATAATTTTTTCAGAGATTTATTAAAAATATTGTTTGTTATGATATTATCACGTATTCAATATTGTTTGTTATGATTATCAATTAAAAAGCCAAAAAATTTTTTTGAATCACCTAATCGAATCACCTAAACAAAAATGATATTGCAAAAAATTCTCACAAAACGAATAAAAATTATTTTCGACTAATGGTATTACAAAAAATTCTCACAAAAAGTTTCAATTTAGAGATATTAAAAAAGTTATTTAAGAAAATTCCTAATTAATTACTCTTGCGAAAAAAGACAGACAGCAACACTGGAAAACTTAACTACATACAAACACATATGAATATGTATGTATATAAGTATCATATTATTTTTCTGTTGAGAATATTATGTGATAATAATTAGTGTTAGACTAGGGAGCTATGACTGCATCGTCACGTGGGCATACTTTTACATATATGTGTTTATGCGTATGTGTGTATATAAATGCAAAAATGTTGGTTTTTGGGTTGTCATTTTTTATACATATATGGTTTTTTTCCCACCTACCTAAATTTTGACGTTTTACTTTGTAATGGTTTCGTTTACTGTTTTCATCATTATTACTATGTTTTATTTAAAACCTGTTTTTTAATTGCTTAGCAATGTTCAATTTAGGTATCTATGGTGGCATTAAACGTTGTATGGTTTTGTTGGTTTTATAATTTTATATATATTTCTACACTTTATCAGCTTGAGTTTATTTATCCAAATAGTATCAATTTTAGCAACTTGTATCATAATAACATCCTGTAGGATAAGATTTTAGTAGATCTTGTAGGATCTACTAAAGTCTGTTCTTTTTGCTGCAGGTTATTACAATACAGAATGCAACGTACTAACATGCAAAGATACAACAAAACAAAAGATAGAGTTAAACCTAAACCACTGACTATAAGAGAGCCACCAAGAAAAAAAATTTAAAAAATTTAATACATCATCCCATTATGTCAACACTATTTATTTTGTTAAAGTTGAACAAGAAGTATGTACTTCAGAGACTAATGATTTTTGTGGTTGTGTTGCTGATGCGGAAAGTAGTGCTTGTTGCAGGATGTTATAGGATGTTACAATGATACAAGTATCAATATACAATATTTATCATAATTTTTAGTTAAATAAAAGTTGAAAAAAAAGGCAAAATAGTTGAAAAAAATAAAAATAAAAGGAAAAATAACTTGACACTTATTTTTAGTTGTGCTGGTAACAAAAATTTTTTATATCTTATAAAAACTAATTAAATTAAATTATTTAACTAATTAAATTAATTAAACTAAGAAAAGGTTTTTGTAGCATACATGGACTATATAATGTCAATTGATTGGTGCGTTTCTCCTCCCTCCCTCCCTCCCTCTTCCTACAATAAATCGAAAAAATTTCTTTTTTTAATTTTTTTTTTTTTGAGAGACCATCTCAGAAACCTTTAAAAATATTTTTTTTCTTATTTATCTTACAACCGATTAGGTGCATATAGGTCTTCAGATGGTAATAGAACAACATAATTATCTTTATTTAAGTAAGAGTTGTGGATTTTTTCTATTAGCCAAAATGGGTATATATTAAGTTTGATTGAACTTTCAATCAAACTTAATATATTTCTCCGCTATGATATTAAAAATCTTTTCAAAATTTTCAAACGTAATATGTACCCATCTTGGCTAATAGAAAAAATCCACAACTCTTACTTAAATAAAGATAATTATGTCTTTCTATTACCGAATGAAGACCTTACAAACTATCGCTATTTCAAACTCCCTTATATTGGTCGAATATCTTAGCAAACGAAACAAAGATTACACACAATTATAAAGAGACATTGTAAGTCGGTTATCGTAAAATTAGTATTCACTTTGTTAAAATTGTCTAATTTTTTTTCATCTAAGGATCACCTTCCTGTAGATTTTAAATCATTCGTCGTCTACAAATTTGTTTGTACAGGATGTAAATCCTGTTATATTGGCAAAACCTCTCGCCACCTAAAGACGCAAGTGATTGAACACTACAGAAGGAAGAAGCTTATAAATAAGAGAGTTTTTATTCATTCAAAAGAAAAATGTTTTAAAAATTATAATAGTGAATGCTTTTCGATCTTGGATTGTGCTAAAAACAAAATTGAATTAAAAATTAAAGAAAGCATTCATAAAGGATGGGAAAAACTCGATATGAGTAAATCATGTTAAACAAGTAAACCATATTAAACCATATTAAAGTGACTCTTATAATTTAAATATGATTTACCGGTTTCTTTTGTTAAATTTGACATTAGTTAAAATAATTTTTAATAAATCTTTTTGTATATTTAAGAAGTTTGTTTACAATTTTATGGCTTTTATTATATTTATTTTTACAATTATATACTATATTTTATACCGTTTTTTACAAATATATTTTCACTGATGATGACTATATATAGTCGAAACATGTCTTGATAAATAAAATGATTTTAAATAAAATTAAAAAATTTGTCTTATTTTTAAAAGTAATATATATATATATATATATATATATATATATATATATATATATATATATATATATATATATATATATATAAATCCTAGAACCATAGCAACAACTTTGAATTTTTAAATTTTACCGTATAATCAGAAGGAATACTGAAAAGATCATCAGGAAAATCATTTTTCCATTTAAAATCTTGAAAAGTAACTCTTGCAACAACTGTTGGCAAAACAGGTATCTCTACAATAAAAATCATTAGTAAAACCTATGAAATTCAACAAGTAATAAAAAAAACACTAAAAAAAGGTAAAATTTGAACTACAAATTAAAAATAAAAATGTAAAATAAAATATTAATTGCAGTTAAGCTTTTTAAAGTTGCTTTACGTTTTATCTTAGTTTATTTAGTACCTTGTATTATATTATATATAATATATTACAAATAATTAGCAACAATCAATCAAACCACTTTTGTATCAACTTGAATAAATTAGTATCAAATTAATAAGATACACATATTTACATTAATATTATATAGGTTCTAAAATCTATTCATTTTTGCATGTATCACAATGTGTCAATATATAAATAGTTGTATGTAGGCAAGCTTTATTGAAAAAGCGAGAAAACATTGCATAATAGGTTACAACTATATTTATATATTTGCTCATTTTTAACAAATTGACAACAGCAAATTGTCCTAGGTGACACATCATCAGAATGGGCACCAGTGTCTAATGGTATTATCCAAGGATTTGTGCTTGGACCAATGCAAATAAATATTAGCAAATTGAAAGTGATGCACATTTGAAGCCAAAAAATAAGTAAATAAAGTTGCATCATCTGCAAATAAAATTCTATTGAAAAATAAATTTATATCGCAAGAGCTAACATCAGGGTTCATAACAGTTTTAGAAATCCACTTTTCCCTGAGCATTCCCTGATTTTCCCCTGTTTTCAAGTACTTTTTCCCTGAGTTCAGTAAAGCTCTAATTTCTTAATTTCTTTGTTTTTCTTATTTGTCTTATAGCATTAGCTTCAAAAATTAACCCTAGATCTTGCTTCTCCTTGGCTTCCTCAACTTGACGAAACTAACCCTTTCGTTTTATAGCATTAGGTTCGAATTAACCTAGATCTTGCTTCTCCTCGGCAAATTTTACAAATGAAACTGCAACATTTTTCTTCGGTTAATCTTGTCTTTTTTGCTGCTGACAACTTTCTTTGCCAGTTATTTTGGTTCTTTTTTTATTAATGTTTGTGATTGAACTTAGGTAACTCCTATATCTATTATGGGCAGATTTTACATTGATGACCATTTTGATTATAATTTTGAAATTATGTGGCTGAAGATTACTTGATAGCATGTGATCTTTGACTAAAAATCTTGCAGTTATTATTTTTCATTTAACTTTTTAAAATTAGATCTTTTCTTTCATGTCTTAAATTATTATATTTAATTAAACATTTATCTAAATATATATTTCTTTAATTCTGATTCACTCCCACATGGAAGCAAGCAACCACTATTAAGTTGAAAGTTTAGGAGCAAGAAAACACTTGAAAGAAGACTTAAAAAGTTGTAGGTTATAGACAAATAAAAGTTTTTAGAGCATGCAAGGACAGATACAGTAAAAGAATGAGACTTTGCTAAATGATAAGTCAAGCGAGAGTGAGTTTCAGTAGATGGAACTAGAGATGATAGCTCTTTTGAGCAGCAACCATGATAGTATTTGTAGAAAAAAGAAAGAGACGCAACAGATGGCAATATGACGAAGGGAGAAAGGCTCAAGTTGGCAGATAGAGCAGGTTTCAGTATGTTTATAATGCATTTTTGGACCTTGTTTAGAAGAGAGGGAGCACCATTAAAAGAACCAGCCCAAATATGACAACAGCCATGCAGTAGTGGTGTAGTGGTAAAGCACTTGCTTCATAGGCAAAAGGTTCTGAGTTTGATTCCCACCACACCCCTGGTAGTACTGCGCTCAACTTGTTTTTCCGCGCAGCAGCTTTGTTTGTCAAGGTTCATATTTTGGATAGAATTGAGAGGGTTATAACCACTACTAAGTAGCCTCCTTATATGTAGTGCCTTCTAGGCGTTAAGGAGGTGAATTTACATAAAAAAACAACAACATTGTTTCCATACAGGGACGCATATGAGATTTGTAGAGATAGAGAATGGAATCAGTAGTAAGAAAATGGCAAGTACGATAAAGAGAAGCAACCTCAGCAGTAAATTGAAATCCAAGAGGATGTATAGAAAAAGGCTCATTGAGATAGTTGCCATTCATCAATATAAAATTTTTACAGTGATTCATAAATCAAGACCCGCTTCGATTCGAAACTCAAAATGCTGAGTCGCATGGCCCTAGATAGAAATTTGGGGTACCGAAAAGTTTCTGGATATGAAGCAGTTAGTGTAGAATGAGAAGATCGAAAATTGAATTATCTGACAGTAAGTTTTTTGACTCAGGTGGGATGTTAATATTTGCTGATCAAAGACTCAAAGACATTGCTAATAACAGAAAGATATTATAAGATTTATAATATATAGTTGCTATATACTATAATAGTTATACAGGCCTTTTTTAAATAAAAAATGCTTAATGCATTAGCTTAACGCAATATTTTATGTCATAAAATTCTCTATATTTTTTAAAGACATTGACTTTTTTAAATTACTGGAATAATATTAATTACCACAAAACAAGTTAAATGTTATTTAACAGCTTTTTTTATTATTACTATAAAGGAATGTTTATTTTCTTTTTTCTTTTTTTTTAATATTAATTAATTAAATTTAATATTGCATTTTTATAGATGTTTAGTATTAACAAATTTCTTTCTTTTCTCAACATTTGCATAAATTAAAAAATGTTAAATTTTTGAGTTTTTAAAATGATTATTACTTAAATTTCTAATTGCAACTTTGCAACTACAAACAATTTTTTATTTTAAAAAATTTAGCAAGTAACAAATAAAAATATTACATTAATTTATTTACTTTTTTTATTTAAGGTTTATTAGTTTATGATTTTATTATTAAAATTTAACTTGCATTATTAAAAAAAAAGTTTAACCTACATTTTGTGACAACTTTTGATGCAGCTGTTTATTTAAAATTTAATTTTGAGTACAATAAAAAAAAATGTTTAAGAAAGAAAACCAAAAAAACAATTGCGATAAAAATAAGCTGATTTTTTTTTTAAAACAAGTAAAATTTTAAAATTGAACAATATTTAGTAATATTTTTAAATACATTTGACAGTTAACATTTTTTAAATCAAAATTAAATCATATATTTTTTATCAGAATTAAATTATATTTTACTTCGAGCAAAGAAAAAGTAAAAACACATTTTTAATTTTAAGTTTTTTTCATTAGTAAATATTTACTAATGAAAAAAACTTAAATAAAATTAAAATGCTTAATGCATTAGCTTAATGCAATATTTGATGTCATTAAAATTCTCTATATTTTAATAAAAAAAACTGTTAAATAACATTTAACTTGTTTTGTGGTAATTAATATTATTCCAGTAATTTACTAAATGCAGTAGTGGTGTAGTGGTAGAGCGCTCGCTTCATAAACGAGTGGTTCCGAGTTCGATTCCCACCACGTCCCTGGTAGTACCGCGCTTAACTCGTTTCTCCGCGCAGCGGCCTTGTTTGTCAAGGTTCATGTTTCAGAGTTATAGAGTTGAGAGAGGGTTATAACCACAAATAAGTAGCCTCCTCGTTTATAGTGGCCTTCCCGGCCTTGAGGAGGTGAATTAAAATTTGAAAAAAAAAAACTTCAAACTTAATATTCTCTGAGTTTTCTCTGATTTTAAAGATTTTCAAAAAAAATTCCCTGACTTTTCAAGGTACTCTTTGATTTTCCAAATTTTCAAAACTTTTCTCTGGTTTTCCAGGTTTACCCTGAGTACCATGAACCCTGAACACTATGGAAGAAACTCTATACAACATATGTCAGACCATATTTTTACATTTAGAAAACAAAGTATGCACTTAGTCACCACCGAAGAAAAAACAAAGTATGCACTTAGTCACCATCGAAGAGAAAACAAAGTATGCACTTAGTCACCATCGAAGAAAAAGGATCAAAAAGTATTTATTCAAAAATTCAAAACCATAAAAGAAATCAACAGAGTGAAATGATGTCGACCAACAATCACAAAAGAGCAAAGAGCTGGTCATAGAGGACAACTTTATACAGTAGTGGTGTAAGGTAGAGCGGTCACCTTGTAAGTGGAAGTCCAAGTTTGGTGCATATCATTTCCCTGGTAGTATCACGCTTAACTTGTTTCTCAGCATAGCAGCCTTGTTCTTCAAGGTTCATGTTTTGGAGTTAAAGAATTGAAAAAGGGTTGTAACCACAATAAAATAGCCTTCTAAACTGTAATGGCCTTCTCGACCTTAAGGAGGTGAATAACATAAAATTTTAAAAAAACTCAGCAAAGGAGTCGGCAACAGCGCACTACAAAGCAATTTCTTTACTAACAGAATCAATAATTATTGGAGTGTGCTATCCAACGATTCCGTGAATACAGAAACAGTCAACACATTCAAAGATGGGCTGCACAACCTCCAGCATAGTTGCTACAGTGGCTTATCCACAAATGGGCTACTTCATGTGAGCCGATAAGTACATACTACAACTTATCATATTAAAGTGTTATATGCATTTCTTTTGTAATTAAAGAATGTATTTGGATACATCGGTATGTAACATATAAACAATGGGTATTATTTTTGATTGATTAATTTAGTATTCAAAAAAGAGTTTATAAAAAATATTCAAGTGTAAGTCAAATGTTAACTTCCTCTCTTTTTTGGGGAGGGGGGCAACAACCCTCTTCTCATACAACCCTTGAGTCTCGAAATTTGATGATGAGGAAATACTTTAATAAATAGTTAATCATAAGTACTGTCTTAATGGGATAAAAAAATTAACTGTTTTAAAATTATAAATAAATAAACAAAAATTGTTACATTTATAATGAACATTATTTGCGAATAAAAGTTTATAAACTTAAGAAATATAAAACTTAACATTTAATACAATGAAAGTTTTAAACTTAAAATGCTTTATTTTCTTAACTAATTTTTAAGAAAATTTCTTAAACTAATTAAAAAAAAATAAAACAAAAAAAAATTTATTGAACAAACTGTTTAACAAAAAATCTATTAGATCACAATCAGGGTTAAATACATTTTTAACATTATATTTTCTGAATAAATATCACATAAATGTTATTGAATTATAATTTATATATTCTAAAGAATATAAGTTTTTGCTTAACGTAAAACTACTGAATACATAGGCATATGGCCTTTTTGCACATAAAATGTGAGCTTGGTAACGCCTCTTAACAAGGCATAACATTCAAACTGATACTCAATCTGACCAAATGAACAAAATTGGTATGGAAGGAGGTGAGCTTTCCGGTCAAATGCTCTTCTACATGTGTTTTGTGACAAGACTATCAGGTATTTCTTAAGCATATTAATATCTATATAAAAAAAAAAAAAGGAGTCCTAAAGTTTTTATGGACTTAACTTTATTGGTAACAACTTAATTATAAACTATTTTATCATTAATCAACAATCAAAAAATATTCAACCAAGCTGAAGATATCAGAGCGATACTATGCGACAGGAAACAAAGAGTTTTTTTATGCTCATCAAAGCAACAAAAGTGCTACCAGAAAGTGATTGGCAGAGGCTAACTATGAATTCAAAAATTAATGGTATAATAAAATACAAAAAAATTCTTCAGTGCTGTCTTATAACAGTTAGGTTAAAGAATTTTCTCATAGAATGAAAATTATAAGGTTTTAAATAACATTTTAATTTAAAATAATTTAATTTATTAATAATTTTAAAAACAAAAATTTTTACTTCTTTTCGTTTAAAACCTTGTTTTTAATATAAGTAACATAATACAACCTTTAACAAAATACAACAAAAAAAATCTAGCTGCATTGATGAAAAAAAAGTCAGTTACATCAGTAAGATTAGAAACCAGTTATTTGATTGTAAAGAGACATCTTTATAACAAACATAGGTAATTATTTTATAATTTAAATTTTACCAATTTTTACAGGAAAACCAGTAGGTAACTTCAATGAGACAAACTCTTTGATTTTTTCAAAATGTTTAGAAGGTGCAACCACATTTAGAACACCTAGTATTCTTCAAATACAATAAATATCATGAAAAATTTAGTCACCATAGTGACAATAGCAATATATATATAACATAATACAACAAAACAACATATATAAAACAAAACTACTATTAATCATACTTTTTTGAAAATTATTTTAAAAATTGTAAATTTCTAAAACTTTTTTAAAATATTATTTAAATAAAAAATAATAATGAAATATTATCTTACAAATCTGTGGTAAGTGGAAAATTCTGATTCTGTAAAAAATCAAAGAAGTAAAGTAAAAAAATGAAACTATGACAAAAAAAATTATTATGCAGATACTATAAAACTTGTAAATATTTTAAAACAATAAAAAAAATCAAGAAACAAAAATAACAATAAAATAATAAAAAACTTACCATACAGACATTTACTTTCATAGTCCTTTTATTTTCTACAACTTTAGGGCTTCGTCCTATACAGGGCATTCTAGATGTGCATATTTAAAAATAACTGTTTTTACACATTTAAAAAATTGTTACAGCAAAACAAAATTAAATTATAAAACTAAAAACTTTTATTGAACATTTGTTATTTTTGTTTTTTGTTAAAAAAATCTTTGAAAAAAACTTAGTTTCAAAAAATTATTAGAAACATTCAAACTATCAGATTAAAAGTCTTGTCAATAACGATAGCTTGTCACCATAACACAGTGGGTCAAACAGTTGTTTTCATGGACATGGATTCATAACATTTGAACAGATAGTGCTATGGGGTTGATTCAAGACTTTTTTGGAAAGTTTTTTATGTGTAAATTTTGGAAAAACTAAAAAAAAATTTTGATACCGGATATTTAGGTCATAATTAAAAATATTAAAAATTTCATAAAAATTGCTTTTTTATAGATTATAACAAAAATACAAATAAATGCTTACAAATACATATGTAAATTTTGTAATACAAAGATAACATAGGTACATCAATGGCAAAAACAATAAAAATTAAGAATCTAGTATGTACTAACCTTAATATTTTATTACTACCTTTTAACCCTGAATCATAAAGATTCAGAGCTACTTTCTTCATTATTCAAAATTAGCTTCCAAGAATGACCAACCAGTTTGTGAACTGATGGTGTTATACTGTAAATTTATTTTTGCAATAGGAGGAAACTCATTAATTATTTTTGCAACAGGAGGAAACTCATTAATTATTTTTGCAACAGGAGGAAACTCATTAATTATTTTTGCAACAGGAGGAAACTCATTAATTATTTTTGAAACAGAAGGAAACTCATTAATTATTTTTGCAACAGTAGGAAATTCATTAATTAGAAATAAAAATTTTTACAATAGTCTTAATATTGATCCACAAAATTTTTTTTTTTGAGGAAAATACTCAAAGAACAAAACAAAGAATTACTGAGAGCACCAATTCGAACTTTTAAAATGTTGCATGATATTAAATAGGCATTAGTGCAATAATTAAATCCCTTTTTGATTTTTTGTTCAAAAGTTATTTAGCTATATAACCTGTTGTTATTGTTCATCTTTTTCCAATTGTATCAGGGTATTCCCATTTTATACCTATTTTTTTGTAATATCTTTGTTTGTAATGAAGTCTCTGCTTGCTTCAAAAATATATTTGAAGCACTGAAAGAGGACTCAGACCAATCGAAAACACCAGCTTTCACATGAACAACAGTTTTCATGAAATGGTCAAATGTACCCAGTAAAGTATGAAGAACCTATATAAATATCAATAATTTTTAAATGCAATAATTTTTAATATCAAGTATGTTCATATTAAAGATATAAAATAATATGAACACTATTACAAGATACCAATTTACTTGTATTGGCTTTACATCACAGGTTGGAATTGGTTTGAAGGTTTGTCCAGCCCTTGTGATATTATTGGGTTGTTTTTTTAAAGTAAAAAAACATCTTCTTGTTTAAGTTGATTAAATATTTCATTCATAGTTATAGTGTCTTGATTGATTACAAAACCATTTTCAACTCTTTCAATATTCATTAAACTGATCTTTTGAGCATGTGCTAAGATCACATTATGCACCTCCAACTCCTGAAAAAAGATTCGCTGTTTTTATACCCATCATATGTGACTGCACTATCACCTGTACATTAAACTGTTTTACCTCTTTATACATAAGAAAACCTTTATTTTTTTAACTCTTATGTCAGAGTTAAAGACAGACAATGATTGAAGAGTTTCTCTTGATTCTTTCCCATTTAAAGACTCAGAGCTTTTTGACTCAGTGGGACATTTTGTGACTTTTGCAACCATATTAACAAACCTGCTCCTGTTTTAAGTGAAAATGGACAAAACATTGTCAGTATGATATTGCCAATGTTAACATTATCTTTTTAATATTACATGGCTTCCACTACCATTAAATCCAAACTTTATTTTCATTAAAGTTATAATCATTATATCTAAAAAAATGTTCTCCAATATCCTTTGCATCGTCAGTTTAATAGCCTAAAATAGACTGAAGTAAACACCAGAATAAAGTTCAAGATAATTCATAATAATTGGTGTTACTTCAAATTGTTTTCTTCTAAGATGTTTCCAACTAGGCAGTATATTAAAACCAGCAGTTGAAAAAGCTTTTTTTTGGTTTGTATATTATAACTTACCAAAAGCACAAACTGTTTAAATTGACATTGTTTCTCTTGGAAATTTATTGAAAGAGTTATTATTTAACAGCAAGGTTTCTTCACCAGCCTTAAAATGGATGCCAGCATAGCCCATTTTTTTGAGTTTGTTTTTCTTCAGACGCAGATCTTTGCTAGCTATTTTGAACTATTGCTTTTTGTGCAAATGTGAACCAAGAGCCTTAGCAATTACCAGTATACAACTTGTTGTACTTACAGAAAAAAAATTTTGGTTGTTTATTTTCCTCAGCAATAAAAATTTCAAATAAGTCAAATTCAGTGAGCTTCATTATTATTAAACTAAAGATATAAATATTTTTGCTGATTCATTATCTAATAACTTTTTAAACAAAATGATTTAAACTTAAAATAATATAATTCAAAATATAAACAAGTTTACGTGACATGTAAAAATGTTATATTATCACTATATACACCACAAAGCGCTCAGTTTTTTTTTTTTTTTTCAAAATTCTTTTTATTACATTTTAAATAAGCATTTCATTACAATTTTAAGATACAAATATATAATAATATAAATATAATGATCGTTATTGAGAAATAAAAGAACTCTGCAACTCGTAGAAGACCGAGGTCTTATTGTCGAGTACCGCTAAGAAATGTGTTAAAATTTATAAGATATTTACATGATAAAAAATGACTTAACGAAGTAAGGAACTTAAAATATTCTGTTACAAATACAAGATGTGTTATACTGATTATATATGTAGATTACAGTTGTTAATGATACATAGATGATTTTTCATAATAAACTGTTTATAAAATGTTTAAATAGAGGGTAAAAATGAAGGTCAATAAAAAATATCAAAAGTATATTGTTAAATCTTTGATTGTAAAAATGAGTTCTTTAAGCTTTCCTTTAAAAGAAAAGATGAATAAAATCCTCAGTAAAATTTTTAAAAACTATTTTATACCATAAGAATGGTCTGCGATAATAACAAAATTTAAAAAGATTTGTTTGAAAAACAGGCTGCTTAATAAAATTATCTTGCGTAAAATGTATTTATTTTTATCTTTTGATGAATATAAATTATGGAAAGAAATCGGGGATGAATTGGTTTTACATTTAAACATAAAACAAAGAATAATAAAGATATTAGGCTCATACATATTATAAACTTTCATTTCAAATAATAGAGGCTTGGCATAAGATTAACAGTCTTTAAAATATAAAAGACATGCTATATGCTTTTTCTGACAATAAAAAGGTTTAAGTTTATTTTTATTTGTACTACCCCAAGCAAAGTTTGCAACAATGAATGAATGAGTGATATAATTATATCAAAATACAATTTATTTATAACTTTTCTTGCTTTGTACAATATTACTATACTTTTTGAAATTTTACTTGATAAGTTTTTAATGTGATTTTTCCATGTAAGATTTTCATTTATACAAACACTTAGAAAGTTGGTTACTTACTGTTACTTTTTTAATTTGTATATTGTCAATAACAAATTGAGGTTAATTGTCAGTTTATGTTTTGTGATAAGAGGTTGGAAAAGAATCCATTTGGTTTTATCAATATTAAGAGATATGTTGTTAGTCTTAAACCAGTCATGTATTTTGATTAACTTGATGTTCACATAATGAAATAGAGTAGAAACTACTCTATTTCACGTAATGAAATAGAGTGGTAAATAACTTTTCAACCATTTTAAAACATTGTCTGTTATACCATAATATTTTAATTTTTTAGCAAGAATTTTATGATCAATTGTATCAAATGCTTTTGCTAAATCAATAAATATTCCCAATGTGAATTTAGAGTTGTTAAATGAGTCTAATATACTTCTTGTAAGTTGAATAATAGCATGCTGTTGAATTATTTTTTTTGAATCCATATTTCATGTTTTATAATAATTTGTTTGATAAAAGGTATAATCTGTTGTACAAAAATTCTTTCTAAAATTTTAGAAAAAACAGAGAGGATAGAAATTTTAGAAAAAACAGAGAGGATAGAAATTGGAAGTGCTTTACATTAGTTTTTTCTCCTTTAAATATAGGAATAATTTTTGCTAAATTTAAATCATCAGGAAAAACTCCCTGATTAATAGAGCATTTAAAATTTTGGAAAAGTATGTCTTTTAAAACGCTAAACGCCTTTATTAATTTTTTAGGGTTTTTTTCGACTAGTCCTACAGATACAAAATAAATTCAGAAGCTTTTTGTTTTTTTTTTTTTTGTTTTTTTTTGTTGTTTTTTGATCAAGAAAAAAATTATCCTCTATTTTAATTACTGAGGGAAAAAATTGTGACATTTTTTTAGTGTTACTAGTAATTTTGTTTATTAGTTGTCGAGTGCATTTTGAGTTTAGGTAGTATTTTTCAAGTAAATCAGTGTAGTATATATTTTTTATTTTACCTTTCGTGTTCAAATAATCTTACGCAGTTTTTATAAATGGTCTTACTCTCAGTTGTTTTTGATTTTAAATATTTAATATAAAGCTTATTTTTAATTTTACAAGATTTTAGATTTTAGAATGTCATAAATTTCATTACAAATTTAAAAAAAAGATTTGTATATTAAATTAAAGTCTTTAGAAAAGTTCAAATTAATTAAAGATATCTAAAAGATTCTAGGTTTTTATAATAAAGAATTCGTTTTTTAAATGATTTTTTTTTCATTATATAAAATATTCGCATTATCTACTATCTATTGAAAAGAAAATAGGGGAACGATCGAATAATAAAAAATGATCGAAGCAATAAAAAATTATTTAAAAAACACTAAAATTTCGCTAAATTTTAGTTGTTTCATTATGTATAACATGTAAAAAGTTAACATCCACAATTCTATAAACTGCAGTCTAAGATTGTTTCTAAATTCAATTATCCCATTAGCACTGCTAATATAGTGACATTTTTTCTTATATGTTAAAAATAATTTTTATGTATCATTTATACCTATTATATATCTTTTGAAACGAAATTACGTTTTTCGAACTAGTATATTTCCTGAACATCATGCTTTTTAATTTTTTTTAAAAACTAGAAATTTATTTGGCTTTCAATAACAACTTAAATTTATTTTGGTAACATTGATTTTTGAGCAATGTCCACTGTTTGGCCCATTGTGCTTAGAAACGATAGCTTGTCACCATAAGCCTCTATATCTTAGATATAGAGGCTTATGGTGACAAGCCTCTATATCTAAGATATTCATTACACAATGACTGACATACAGTAGATATTTTTTCTGATAAAACTCTTTTTCTGAAAAATGCTGTTCAATTTTTATTTATTTTTCAAACTTTGAATCTGTGTTTGTGAAATCACAAGCATTTAAATGAAAAATAAAATTACCAGCGTTTTAAAGAAAAATGAAATCACCAGTGTTTTAATGAAAAATGAAATCACCAGTGTTTTAATGAAAAATGAAATCACCAGTGTTTTAATGAAAAATTAATTCATCAGTGTTTTAATGAAAAATAAAATCACCAGTGTTTTAATGAAAAATGAAATCACTAGTGTTTTAATGAAAAATGAAATCACCAGTGTTTTAATGAAAAATGAAATCATAAGTGTTTTAATGAAAAATGAAATTACTAGTGTTTTAATGAAAAATGAAATCATTAGTGTTTTAATGAAAAATGAAATCACAAGTGTTTTAATGAAAAATGAAATCACCAGTGTTTTAATGAAAAATGAAATCACTAGTGTTTTAATGAAAAATGAAATCATTAGTGTTTTAATGAAAAATGAAATCACAAGTGTTTTAATGAAAAATGAAATCACCAGTGTTTTAATAAAAAATGAAATCACAAGTGTTTTAATGAAAATGAAATCATAAGTGTTTTAATGAAAAATGAAATCACAAGTGTTTTAATGATAAATAAAATCACAAGTGTTTTAATGAAGACATTGTTTAGCTAACCTAAAATCTATTTAAAAACTTTACGTTAAAAATTATAAAGAGACTAACGCACCCAGAAGCTTTAATATATTCTTCCCAGCTGAAAGGACAAGCAGGTGGAGGAGGCAATGACTCTCTTCTATCTACCTAAAAAATATATGCAATAGTATATAAAATAAAAAACTTGTGTATATACGTGTGACAGTAGCAATGTTAGTAGATCTAAAGATCTTAGGTGTTGTTAGTAGTTACACATTTTGTGTTTACTTTATTATAAAAATAACAATCTTTTTATGTTTGAAAATTTTTTTCTTATAACTGTTACTAAACTATGAATATATATTAGGGCGGGTCATTTTTCAACTTTTTCCAGTAAATACTTAGGCCATATGATTTTTAAATGTTTTAGCCCTTATATAAAAGTAATCCAAAAAAAAAAAATTTATTTTCAGGTTTTCAAATTTTGACCTAAAAAATCGATGTTTTGGGTAAAAAACGCAATATACGCGGCTTGTCGCAACTTTTGACCGGTTGCTCTAATTGACTCAAAAACATCTTTTATGGAATCCTCGATCCCAAATACCCCTAATTAGTCGTTTTAGCTTAAAAACTTATTTTGCTGGAATATCTTGCGTAGTTACAATAAGATGTTTTGGTTAAACCTAAATTTATTTAGTAGATTATATGAAAAAACTTATGAAATATCATTCATAAGTTGCTGCATTTGAATTGCCGCATTTTAGACTGTTGCTTTAGCACCTGAATTTGCTGCATTTTAAATGCTGCATTTGAGTTGACACATTAAATCTACAATAAATATTGTTTATAAACTATTGATAACTTTGAGTTCTTTATCGATGGCTAAACGAACACATAAAAATAGTCAAAGCTACAAACTAAGTGTTATGATTGGTTTTGCAAGTGAGTTTTTAGATTCTGAGTTACCCACATTTAGAGATGTTATAAAGTATGGACTGCTTCTAAGAAGAGATGAAAACTGCAAAGCAAATGCAAAACTTAAAGATACATGCAAAAAGGTTTTCTCTAAAGTGAAAACACAATGGTTGAAAGCGAATCCTGAAATTCCTATAGTGATGGACAAAGTGGGTGTTAATAAAATAACAAAAGTATGGAAAAAAGCTACCAATATTATTAACTACAGGTGTAAAAAACCTGAAATTATTTCTAAGTTTAACTTTACTCTGCACAAGCTATTTGATATAGCAAAGTGCAAGTGTGACATTGTTTCTTGTGAGGAGGCTAGTTGTAATTCTTGTAATTTTAAAGCGCATATTTTTTGTCAATGCAATAGAGAAAACAAAATTCCTTCAATAGAACTTCAGTTTATGAAATTTTAAAGAGAAAAATTTGGAACAAAAAGTAGTATGCAAATGGGTGCTTCGGATTTTAAAGAAACCAATAGACAAGAAAAAAATAATAAAAGAAAGGGCACTGGAAAAAAGGAGCCACAAATAGAATACCTATCTTTTCGTTCTCAAGAAAATGAAATCAAAGAAACAATTGATAATTTTGCGAATACTGACAATGAAGATGTTGTTTCTGACAATAGTTTTGAGTACATTAGTAGACAAGTTTCGAAAAAGACATTGAATATGGAAGAAGTTGCATTAGCATCAATAAGATATGGGGTATCAAATCGAGCAACTGCTGCTATTTCAACATTAGCACTGAAAGCAGCTAAAGAAGCAGGTTTTCTTAAAAAGAAAGTGTTTTACAGTGAAATAGTGACAGATCATAAGAGAATTGAAAGATCTAAATTGAAGGTGATGAAACAATTAAAATCTGAAAATGATAATGTTGTAAAAGATGGAGTTCAATGCATTTTATTTGATGGAAGAAAGGATGAGACAAAATATTCATTAATGGGAAAAGATGGAAAATTTCACCACAGACTTGTTCAAGAAGACCATTATTCGGTTTGTGCAGAGCCAAGTGGTTTATATATGTACCATTTTACAAATGATAAAGATGACTGATATGAGTGTAATACCCCAGCAGAGCACATAGCAGAACATATATATTTAAATGGATTATTGAACATGGGGTAGAATCAACTCTAGTTGCTGTAGGCTGTGATTCTACCAATTTTAATACAGGTAAATATTTAATAATAAATGTCATACATATATTTAAACACATTTTTTTTAGGTTGGAAAGGAGATATCATTCATTTTTTAGAAAAAAAACTTTAAACAAAACTTATTTGGATAGTTTGCGCTTTGCACACAAATGAACTACCCTTGAGGTACTTAATGTGAATTATTGACGGGAAAACAACTTCAAATAACAAGTTTTCTGGCAAAATATGTAAACTTGTTCCTATTGCCAATGATCTCATAATTTCCACTGTGATTCAAGATATAGATACTGAAATTAATTTATTAAATATTGATGAAGATATTTTAAAAACTTTATCGAGTGATCAAAAATATCTATACGGAATAACAAAGGCTATTGAAAATAAAATAATGCCCAAAAATTTAAAAGAAATTCAAGTTGGTCCCCACAATAACGCACGCTGGTTGAATTTGGCAAGTAGACTTTGCAGAATTTGGTGTTACGAGCATGGACTAAATAAAAACGATGTTGAGAATTTAAAACAACTTGTACAGTTTTGTGTTGGTGCATATTCTGTATTATGGTTTGAAATTAAAGTAAGTAATGTTTATATTTAGTTTGATAATCCTCTATTTATTTTTGAAAAATGTATTATTAATGTTCAGATAAAACATAAATGGACCAATGGACCATAAAATAATATCAAACAGCTGGAACTTGTCCGAAAAATAAACTTAAAAATTCAACAAGCAGTTTTGCCTTATGTTTGCTCCTCTGCCTGAAATGCTCACAGTGAATCTATTCTAAAAGCACTACTATGCAGCAAAGATAAAGAGGAGAGGAAGTTTGCAGTGAATAAAATACTTTCAATAAGGAGTTCGAGCTCCCTAGGAATTACTGCTGTTAGACCAAGAAATATCCCAAATATTAATACTAATGCTGAAACTATTATCAAATTGATTGATTGGAGTAATGATATTTACGAACCTTTGCTCACATGCAAGATTGGTAAAGAACTTATTAAGTTTTTAGAAGTCCGAATGGAAGTTCCAGAATTTCCTGTACATGGGCAACCCATAAAAAGAATTGTGAAAGAAGTTACAAGAGCTTCTAGTATAGTTTATGGACAGGAAAGACGAGACAGATTTATAAAGGCAACAATAGCTCACACAGAACTTCTTTCTGTTTTAGAATCTAAACAGAATTTGCTTAAGCTTTTTTAAGCAATTAGTTTATATTTTTTGTATATTTATAATTAAGTTTACTCTTGCATTGTGAATGATAAATTGGTAAAAACTGCTATAAACAATAATTAATGATTTTTCATGTTTCTAATTGGTTGTGCCTCATGTTGTGGTTAAGAAATCCTTTGAAACTGTTTTGCTGCATAACATTCACATAACATTGTTATAGAAGATATTACAGAAAATTATATCAAACATAATGATTTTTGTAAACTTTTAATTATAAGTTTTCAAGCTAAAGTGATTATCTAGGTGTCTAATTAGGGGTATTTGGGATCGAGGATTCCATAGAGATGTTTTTGAGTCAATCGGAGCAACCGGTCAAAAGTTGTGGCAAACTCTGTATATAGCATTTAGGCTTGGACAGAAATGGTGTGCGATCGCACTCTTTAACTGACCACGCTAATTTTGTTTTTTCTTTACAATTTGACCACGGCAATTTTGATGTTTTAACACTTTAAATGCAATAAAAGAAAGTGTTACGTTATTAAAAACTTTTAATTGCTGATCTTTTCTAAAGTTTTTATTTTACGTGAGGCTTTTAAATAAAACCATAAAATTAATTACAATGATTGTTTACATAAAGGCATTTGTTAATCAATAAAAAATGTTATACAAAAAATTAATAATAAAATATTAATAAAAAGTATTAATAAAAATCTTTTAAAAAAAAATTATATTTTTTGAAAGGGTTTTTTTTTATAATTACGATAGGAATGGATGAATTTAAATTTTTTATAATAACTTTTAAATTCGTTAAGTGAAGTGCTTATTAATAAAGTTGTAATGCTCAAATTAAATTGCTTGTTGGCGGTTTATTTTATTTAAATCGCAGGCGCATTTTGTTATTTATTTATTTCCCCTTTAAAAAAAGTTTTTTTTAACTAAAAACCTTTTTTTTAACTAAACTTACTAATTAAAGCTTGAAATTATTAAAAATAACATACAACATTATATACAACACTTTTTAATAAATTTGATAAAATTTGATTATTTATTAAACATTATTTAATAAATAATCAAAAATTATCATTAGAAGTAATTTATTACTTAATTTAAAAGCGTTTTGCATAACATTATTAAAACGTTTAAAAAAATAAATTTTAATAACATTTATTTCTATTAAATACGTAACAAAAAGTTTCGCTTCGAGTTCAATTTTTTTTTAATTTTAGTGCTTATATAATTTCTTTTTCGTAATAAATTTTATTTCTTTTCTTTTTTTGTTAGGAATTTTTTTTCAATAGTTTTTTTTTAAAACTTTTTTTTCTAGTTTAAGTTAAGCTTAGCGTTTCTACATTCAGCGCATTTCTGAAATGTTTAAATCATCAAAACATATAAAAAATCGTGGTCAAGTTGTCAAAAAATAAAACCATTTGCGTGGTCAACAATAGTGCTCGATTGCACGCCATTCCTGTCCAAGCCTATCTATCTATATATATATATATATATATATATATATATATATATATATATATATATATATATATATATATATATATATATATATATATATATATATATATATTAATAAAATTTTGTTGATAGAAATTGTAAAAAAAAATTAGAGTTTTGAATTGGCTTTTCGAAGCCCAGATTACATCTTTATAGCATCTTTGGGATCACCTCAACTCAGTATATAATCACTCAAAAAATAAGAAATACAGCTGGAACATTGACAGAACTTTTTAAAATTTCAAGTGAGTCTAATTTTGATGGAGAAGAGAACAAATTAAAAAAAAAAATTGATAAAAATAAATAAAAGAGAGAAGTGTAAATAAAATTAATATTATAGATACTTTTAATATAAATTTTATGGACAACTGTAAAGTAATAGAAATTGTTTGAAAGTGAAATTTTAAGGGAATTAGAAGAAAAAAAGATACAAGAGGTTTGAATTAAATTTGAAGAAAAAATGATACAAGAGGTTTGCAGAGTAGTCATTTGCATTCCTGTCTCACAAGCAAGTGTTGAGAGTCAAACAAGTGACTACACTATTTTGGTTTTATCAAGAAAAAAAATTACTTCAATCAAAAACAAGGAACCTGGAGCCAATATTTGGAAAACTAAAGCCCTGAGCCCTATTAACTCAATCAAAAATTTCAGTACCAAAATTAATTCTAATATTTTTGTTATCCAATTTTAAAGGCTTGACAATGAAAATAAGCAGATCAATGGACATGCTGGCCAATTGACAGTTTGGCTAGTATTTCTACAGAGTAATTTTTAGCTCACAATATGCATGTATGGTGATATCAACAAGCTCTTAAGGCATTTAAGATTATTTACTTCCAGTGTCATAATTTAATCCTAATGTGTTCTACCAAAATACTTAAAACTTGAAAATAAAATTATTAATTACTAAACTTCTGTTTCTTTTGAGATTCAGGTTGACATGCTTTTGAAGAACTTAATTTTCATGATATAAGATCCCTTTAAATTATCAAGAGCCAATAGCAACCCCTATAAAAATTTTATATTAGTTTTTAAAATCCAGAATTATTTTTTATTTCAAGAAAATTTAAAGTGTGGCCTGCAACATTATTCCAAATAATCATTTTAAGAATGACCTTTACAAATGACATCATACCAAAGAAGCCCCTGACACAAAAAAACCTATCTGAGGGGTATTCATCTATAAGGGTGTATTTTAACTTCTAGTTAACTTTCTGTGTCCTAATAGGGTGGCTACTCTGTTTATCTTCTGATGAGGGTACAACTTTAGAACTCAATTTAATGGTTCTAAGATCGGCTGGTATAAAGGTTCCCCCTGTTTTAGGTTTTAGAGATTCCATCAACAGCTTAAAATATTTGAGTATTAATTGTGTCATTGTGCACACCATCCATGCACATATTGTGCATGGATGGTGTGCTTGTTAGTACTTTTAGTAAGCATTTGACATAAATGACCTTTTGTTACAACTTTAAGTTGATTAGTAGGAAGAAGGCAACTGCAAAGCTTATTGCTCCAGTTTTACTATCTATGATCGAGCCCAAATCTATAACAATTTAAAACTTTCACGACCCTGACAGGACCAAAGCTAAAAACTTTTGTCTTTCTAATCTCTTTAGAAAATTAACTGTGACTTGTTTTTAACAGACAATCAAACTGTGACTTGTTTTTAACAAACAATCCAATATCTTACCTTCACTCCTTGATTTGTTTTGTTTCTAAATTGTGACTATTTCATTTAGGTCAGTTTTAAACCAAGTCTCACTTTATCCCAATTGTAAACATAGTTGGACCTGCTCTTGCAGCCAACCTTCAACCTCTGTCACATCGTCGTAATGTTGCTTCTCTTTCTCTTTTCTACAAATACTATAATGGGCACTGCTCTAAAGAGCTAGCGTCTCTTGTGCCATCTACAAAAATTCATTCTCGTGTTACTCGTCATTCAATTAAGTCTCATCCTTTTTCTGTTACTGTTCCTAAGTGCTCCAAAAACTCTTATTCGTCTAGTTTTTTTCCTCGAACATCAGTTCTTTGGAATTCGCTTCCTTCATCTTGCTTTCCTGATTTATATAATTTGCAATCTTTTAAGTCGTCTGGCAATCGTTATCTTGCTCTACAATCTTCATCTTTTCTCTTCCAGTAACTTCCAACACTAATTAGTGATTGCTTGCAGCCTTGTTGGAAGTGAAGATGTTAAAAAAAAAAAAAAATTTTTCAAATTGTTTTCTCCTTCTTTTGCAGCTGTTATTTAAGAAAAGAAAAAAAAAAATTTTTAAATTGTTTGTTCTTTTTAATTCTTTTTTTTTTACTTTTTTGCTCCCAACTTAGAGGTTGCTAAGCAACTTTGTGTTTGCTTTCAGTTTTGCTGAAAGTGAACTTTTTAAAAACATACGTGTATGCGGTAGTGGTGTATTGGTAAAGCGCTCACTTCATAAGCGAGAGGCCTCGAGTTTAATCCGCACCACGTCCCTGGTAGTACCACACTCAACTTGTTCGTTAAGGTTTGTGTTTTGGAGTTATAGAGTTGAGAGAGGGTTATAACCACTATTTAGTAGCCGCCTCATCTGTAGTAGCCTTCTCAGCCTTGAGGAGGTGAATAACAAAAAAAAAAAAAAAAAAAAAGATTTTTGTTGCCAACTTAGATATTGCTTGCAGCTTTGCTGGAAGTGAACTTTTTAAAAACATATGTATTATGATTTTTGTTTCCAACTTAGTGGTTGCTTGCACCTTTGCTGGAATAGAATTTTTTTTAAAACATGTATGTAATTTTTCATAATAACTATAAAAACAACGTCTTTATTAAATAACAAATATATAAAAGCATACTACCTCACATTTTTCTACTATCGAACTGCCATTGCTTATTGCTTCAACCATGGCCTAAATTAAGAACAAGTAAAGAACTTTCAATTTAAAATTTGTCTAGCACTTACTGCATTTTCATTTTTATTCTTATATCTATCTCCATCTTATGTCACTAAAATCCATTACCATCTTATCTCTCAAAACTCAATAAAATTCATTATCATTTTAATCTCACAATACAATAAAATTTTTATAGAAAAGAGAACTTTGGAGGTTTGACCTTTAGAGGTTAAACAACACTCGGATTCAAATTGATAAGAAATATAGAAATTCTTAGTTTTTTTTTTTTTTTTTTTTTTTTTGAATATTACTAAAAATGTTTAGTTATTTTATTTTCTAATTTTGGCAAAATTTGCATTAAAAATATAAATAAAATTTTTTGATGACATCATTTTTATAGAGAAACTCTTTAGAACTTAGCGATCTCTTTAAGCATTGTGTCAAATTTTAAACAAAATAAGATTTTGTTAAAATGTATTAATTAAGTGGGATTATTTATTTTTAACTTGTTTATGTTTGTTTATGTTTGTTTGGACACTTTAGCTTAGGATTTCATTTTGTTACTAAATGTTACTGGCATAAAAAAAAAAAACTTACTTTATTTTTTTGCAAGTCATCTTCTGTTAAGTGTTCCCGTCTGAAAAAAAAGGGAAAATTAGCGATTATAGGTTAATGTCACCCCCAGAACATTATAAACTTCACAATTCATACCTTTTTCGGGTTGTTAATGTCATCCCCTGAACATTATAAACTTCACAATTCATATCTCCAATAAGCTCCTTTAAATAAAAAAGTGTTTTTAAATATATTTTCCAAATTTTTAACCAAAATAAATTTACATCAAGTATGAACAAGTATATATAGAAGTATGATCAAGTTAATTTATGCACCCTTTGATCAACCTACATATTTAAAATTAAAATAATAATTATTAATAAATACTTATGATTTATAATTATTTATTATTTACTTACACTTATAAATAATTATACTTATAAATAATTATAAATTTGTGAATACACCAATGTAATGCTTTAATTCAAAACAAGTTTAGTATTACCATTCAAAATTCATAATTTATCATCATTTTATTATATTATTACCATTTTATCTTCTTTAAAAATCCATCCACTTTGAGCTGGAACAAACTCAATTGTTTTAGTCGATATTTGTGCTGAAACAATATCACTAAAAATAAAATGTCACTAAAAATAAAATATGGTTAATTTTGCTAAATGATTAAATAAATAAATATTGCTATAACTATATATAGCTATAACTATTATAGATATATATTATGATAAAATAAAAATATTATGATATAATAAAAATTTTGCTATATATGTTGCTATAAGTACAGCAAGATTAAAAAATATTCAAAAATTATTAGGGGAGGTCTTTAATCCCCCAAAACAACACTGATGACAGCGCACTAAACCACTGAGCTATCAATGATATGTGTTAAGGAGAAAAATAAACCTAATTATAAATCTTTTATAAGCTCTAGATATGCTGAAAGGATGCGCATGCTATTTTTTTTGCTCTTAAAGCAATTTTTTAAAATAAATTATTTTAGGTAAAAATGTTGAAGTAAACAAATCATAGGTATAGGAATGATCAGGTAATGAAATGAGTGTGGAATAGATAAGTATAGAAAAGGCAAGTTTGGTTAAGACCCATATTTTATGGGTCCAGAAAGCTAGGATATATATATAAGGAAAAAGTATAGAAAAGGTCAGTGTGGAATAGACTTACAAAGACCCATATTTTTACGTAGACTTACAAAGAATTTTTACGGGTCAGATCAGCTAGTTACTATTATTACATGATTATCAAATTATTAAATATTAAATAATATTGATAACAATTATTATTACTATTTTTATCAATATTATTATTATTACAATTATTATCATTATTTGTTATTATTAGACCTACATATATTTCAATTTTTTATTATTTTTAAATCTTCACACACAAGATTTAAATGCTCTTTAGGTAGTGAGCTTGAACAATGTTTTTTTGCTTAAAAAACCAACTCTCAATTACTAATTATTATAATATAATATTATTTATTAATTTTGTCTTAACAGGAAAAAAAGAA